CATTTGTCTGGTAGATTTTAACTTTTATAAAAACCTGCCAACAAACAGGTTAAGATAGTCTTAACAATTTATATTTCTACACGCTAGGTTGAAAGCCTGGTGAAAGGCAAAACCCAGTTAGAAAGTTGTTTCACTTAGCTTTTCCCAATAGTTTCCAATCATTCAAAGGGATTATATTATCAAATCAACATACTTCAAATGTCCCTATTAACATGTCATCGGTATTCATGTTTCCAAAGTACATGGCCTTTGACCTCAAATAAATATTTCCTTAAAAATTAAAACAAACAAAAAACCCAACCAGACTAGTCCTCTCTCACTAAAAGCAGAAATCACATACTTTGGGTAATACCTAACCCATGAAAGAATATTCTTGGTAATAACAGTTTTCCAACCATTCTCTTTCAGACTTCCAATATCCTGTTTAACACCCTCTTTTTCAAAGAACTACCAGTATTTACTACCTCCTTCCTCTCACAAATGGCCATAAAACAAATGTTTTATCTAAAGCCCAATATTTCCCTCTAATTACAAACTTAACACAAGTGCCACAAACACTATTCCACACATTTAAGATTTTTAGTTTACTAAGAAAGATCAAACTCTTTTCATGTCAATCTCTTCAGGATATTTCCTATGTAAGGAAGAAAGGGTGAGAAAGAAGTTATTAATGACCTGATAAACTTCCAGAACAGCTAGTATTTATAGACATTCCATAAAGCTCCAACACAGCAGTCCATTCTCAAGAGCTGTTGGAAATGACAGCCACTCTGACCCTAACCTTGGGTAAACAGAATGAACCTCCCATCCGAATTGCAAAACTAGTGGTGCCTCTTCAAAGGATAAAATAAATTAGTTGTGTGTGTTTGTCTGTTGCTGTGGTGCTGGGGATTGAACCCAGGGCTTCATTGGCACTAGGCAGACACTCTACCACCAAGCTATACCTCCTCCTAGAGGTCAGTTAACTCCCTGCAAACCCCTGCCTGGGCACTGGGGATCAAACTCAGGACCTTGTACTTACGAGGCAGGCATAGTGCCACTGAGCTAAATCCCTGGCCCCAAGGTCAGTTATTTCTAAAGTGAGGAAAAACTCTTCCATCCTCTTAGTTTTTTAAGAAAATAAAACCTTCATTTTTTGTTTACTTTCTTTATAAATAATTTATTAGCATATCTATCTGGGCTACAATTACTGGAATTATTATTGTTTCTGTCAATTAAGTTTTACAAGTAAAAAATAAATCTTAATAAGAAAAATGTTTTCATGCTATTTTTAGCTTAGTTATCCAAAATGTCAACTTCTTTTCTTGAGATTTAAGGTTACCAAGTTAAAAGTTAAATGCCATTTGATTTTTTAAAAATGGTTTTAGGAATGATAATGTCTTGACAATGCAGCTCTCTCACCCATGTATCATCTTGTGTCATTAGCAAACATAAGACATAGGCTTTCCTGATGTCAACTCAATATCCTGTAATAGATTCCTGAACCACACTGGGGGAAGAATTGTTTAAAAACTATTTTAGGAAACTGCTTACTCAATAAAATGTAATAAATACCGTGAAAAGATTCAAGTCTAAACCAGAGAGCCAAGACAATTATAAAAGTAACTGTAATAAAAGAAAAGAACACGAAATCCCATAGGAGATGAAGATTTAACAAAAAGTGCACTAATCATATTTGGGGGTTATATTAGACAATACATTGGGATATATATGATTATGAAATAAGAGGAAAAGGTCATAGCTTCTTTTAGATCTACTGTCTTTTGTTTAAATACTGGCTTTGTTTCCTACCAGTATTAAAAGTAGAAAAAAACTACAAAATAGGTTCAAATTTGAAGTGACAACGTCCAAATGGAAGAAGAGCTCTTCAAGCTAATTTTATACTACAATGCAATATGCTGATTTATTGAAAATAGAAATACCAAGCATATATGAACTACTGCATCATAACAGGGAAATGACTGTATGATTAAAAGATACAGAAATAAATGGACAATATTAAGGGAGATTTGTTCCAAGCTTAGGTCTGAGCCTTTTAAGAAAAGTGTAAATATAACTAGTCATGGCTCCAAGACAAGGGAATAAGTACTAATTTATCAGTCTTTTTCTTTCCTGAGTGCTGTGAAGATATAGTTAAGTCAGCTAAAAAACACAACTGCATTAGCTAATGAAGGCCACCAAGAATTCTATGGCATACAAATACAAGAAAAACTCAGGTCTAAGAAAGATGAGAAGACAACTTACTGAGAGATCAAATTATAGATCTAGCATAAAAATACTGGTAATGTTTTGCTTTCTTATGGAAAGCTGATAATATGCTAAATAAAAAATATGACAACGTGGAAAACATAAAATCTATCTCAATGTCAGCAAAAAAGATCAAGGAATACCTAAAAAGCATACCTGTTAACAGTAACATATATAATGGACAGACAATAATTATACATTACAATTACTATATATATATTTTACAAAGGTTCAGCTAAGACTTTGAATTTATTTAGTTCCAAGTTATAAACTAGAAATACAAATATCAGGGATTGTCTTTAAATAAAAAGATAAAATTAATGTCACTGACACTTGAAAAGAAAAAGCACAGCCTAAAAGTAAATCAATAAAAGCTCCAACAGCAAATTCAAAATCTGTATAGTTATCAACCTAGCCAAGTTAGAGGACTAAAATATTTAATGAAAGAAACATTGTAAAAATGCAAAGTATTAAAGCTGTAACAGAATACCAACAAGTTATTCCCTGAAGCCATAATTACCTTAATTATATACAATGACCTATGAATGGAGCATCTACATTTACAAAACTGTATTTGCAAACCCCATATAGATTTTTTTGCACATGCAAAGCCCCGATGGATAAAAATAGATGCACTAAACTTCATTTAAGTAAAGCAAACTATCATGCCACAGACTGTGGGTTTAGGTGTATTACCTAATCTACTAGTTGTCCTTTAATCGTCATATGATACCTCTACATATTTGCCATAAAACCTAGAAACTCTGTTCTCTAAAAAAAGATTACCAAAATGGGATTAAAGCCTCCTGTGTATCAGCCTTCTGTTTACCTTGAGTTTAAAAAGAAAGAAAAGAAAAAAATACCAAGTACTGTAGAGCATTTCTTTTTTTAATAACTCCATAAGAAAAGCTGTATTATGAGTCACTGAGTAACCTTCAATATGCTTTGGAAGTAGCCAAGGTAATCATTAAGATAGTAAGTCATTATATGCATAGAAAGAGATATAAAATAGTTCAGATGAAATTCCAACTATTGATGACTATACTGTTTCACCCCCTAAAAACCTCCATCCTATTTTCAAATAATCAACTTCCCTGAACTGAACTCTTTGGTTAGTTTTCTGGGACTCCAACACTTTATTCTAACCCTAATTATGCTGTATATTTAGCTGAATGTCAAGCAGCCATTTCAATATAGAGCCATGATGAGAAATGAGTGATGCTCAAGTTCTTGAATGGATATGAAGAAATCAGGACACACTGCAAACTAACAGTTATCAGTTTACAGCAAATTTTCTACTTTGTATCATAGTACAAATCAGCATCCAATAACTAACCTACAAAGACAGACTACAAGAACACTAAAAAACAGGTAAGGAAAAAAAGTGGAATTCGTTGTTTATTTACTTCCCATGAATCAGTATGAACATCACAAAACCACAAGCCAATTTCCAAATATTCAGCAATATTGCATTTAACAGCGTGCAAATATGCTGCACATTCTACATGCTGTTCAACCTATAATCACCTGGTTTTTAAAAAGGCTACAGCACAAAACACAGAATCCATTACCTTTTCATCCCTTCAAAAACTAAACACCTAGACAATAAATAGTAAACACACCTTATTAAAAAGAATGTAAGGGCCAGGAATTTAGCTCAGTGGTTCCACTGCCTTCCTTGAAAGCACAAGGTCCCAAGTTTGATCCCCAGTAACAAAAAAAAAAAAAAAAAAAAAGATAAAACGAATGTAAGATTTCACCTCTCACACCACAGAAATAAAATCTGTAAAAGCTAGGGTTTCAAAATCATGTATAACACATTCAAAGATAGTAAACATCTTGTAGCTACCACTTACCTTCTTCTCTACGGTTACATATATAACTTAAAATGGGTGTCGGATGCATGCCATGTGGCATGTATAATATCCATTACAAATGCTTACTCTTAAATTTGTAAAGGAAATACAATGAATTGTACTTAGTACAAACAGTTGAAATTCAAATTAAAACCATACAATCCTGAACTTCTATCTTAAACAGAAGTTAAGCAGTAACAATAATTCTTTAAGTCAAAATATTTTTAAAAGAATATTAAAATATTTGTAAGATTTATTCTTCTAGTTCATAAAATTTCATTTAAATTAAATCATCTATTTAAAAAAGAAAATTAAGTACAGATGAATTATTAATGGGTATAACCTTGACACCCCACAGAGAGCCACTACTTTTACATATATATATTCCAATCACAACATACTAGTTGCTGGTGCAAATACTTTACAATACACTTTGATTTCTTTTTATACAAATACAAAGTCCCAGGAATGATTCAAATTATTGTCACATGTTTTATAATGTCATTTTTGTATCTTTTGCAAAATGGGAATTTCTTTTAAATTTCAAGACTTACATTGTCACCGATCTATCTCCACAATAAAAGCCAAGCTAAAGAAAACAAGCTCAACTGCACAACAGAAACGCCTGCCTGTATATAAAACCAACTAGCCAAATAAAATCTTCCAACTGATGTCTACTCTGCAACAGATACCTACAAATGAAACAGACTTATCCACAACTATAGCACTCCTAAGAAATAAGCCCTAAAAAAATTTAATAAATCACAAAATATATTTGAAATCCAGAAACTTCTTTTCTGTGTTGTAATATAAAGAAGAAAAAAATAATAACAATAGTTTTTTTTTGAAAGAATCTTTAACTCATTACATTTGCAAATCAGTACATTAATGTCTTACTGGTAAACTTGATGGTCTTTCTTGCTGTATTAAATTCAAGTCTTCATGGTTGGGTTTTCCGGGTGCCAGAGGAGGTTGAGATCTAGTGCCATACCCTTCCTGAGACATGTCCTAAAGAAACACAAGGTACTTCATAACCAAAATGCACTGAGATTTATCATGAAGTATCAAGTAATGTTACATTTCAGCTCCCAGATGTGATAGCTATCGTATCTTTAACACTTTACCAAAAGCAAAATAAAACAGTGAATCACAGAAATATGCATAAAATTTAAAGCTAAATTTATTATAAGACCATACAAAGTAAGCATTGTATTTTGAGTTTAGCCTAGATGGTAAAGCATGGGGAGGGAGGTCAGGTATAGCCAAACTGTCTTTAAACCAGAGCAAATAGAAAACTCATTGTATTGCTTAATTCTGATTTTGGTCAAATAGCCTTTAATATTATTTCAAAAAGTTTAAATGACTAATGAAAGCTTTATTATCAACTGAATCTTAATATGCCCTAACAAGTATGCACAAAACATGATAAATTGTTATTAAGATTAGTATCCTGGAGTTTCTATAAAACCAATAAACACTCAGGTACAGAAGTCCATATAGTCATATGACATAGTTTTTAGGAAGCAAAATACACCCAAAAAATTTTCCGCCAAGGGAAAAGAAACTAATCTTTTACAGGGGTTTCTGGCATCCTACAGAACATTTTTCCAAGATGCATGTCTTCAGCATTATGGTGAAATAATATTAATACGATTGAAATGTCACTCCACACCACATTTATTGTATGCTAGGGCTTCTAGCTACTTAACTATGAATACTCAGCTATGAAATATTCTACTATCATTTGCACCTAGAGTAAAACAGCAGACCAGAATGGTAAGGACTTATTATTGCATGTCTCAATTGGCACTGAAAGTTGAAGAACCAGTTCCTAATTGGACAGGGAGAAAAAAGAGAAAAGTATGGCCTTAAAATTCTCTTCCCTTCCCTGTCAGTTCAAATGGGTACTGGTATTAAAGAAATATCATATACAAGTCTTACTTCTTTTATTAAATCCCTAAATATTACTTGGAAAATTAATATTTATTAGTGAAATCCCATAAAACGTTTCTGCTGCCCCACCCCTTTCTCACATAATATACACTTAAAATTACTTGGCTTCTTACGCCAAGTAAATTCTGGACTACAAACTGGTACTACAAAGTATACAAGATACAAAAACTAGATTTAACTAGCCAATACTAAGCCCAGAGCTGGTGTAACTGCCTTTAAACAGGCTCCAAAATAAAGGAGCAGGCCAGCAATACAGCATTTTTCACATGCAACCCTTATTCTTTACACCCCGCCCCCTGTGTGTGCGTGTGTGCGTGTGTGTGTGTGCGTGTGTGTGTGTGTGTGTTGTGAGGGAGAGGGAGAGAAAGATAAAATACCCAGTTGGTACTATACTTTGGTAAGAGAATTCAATCACAGTTGTCAGGTCCATTCCCCCCCACCACCGCCCAGTAACCACCATATAGCAAGGAGGGAGTAAGCACATGCAGGCCAAGGACACTTGAGGGGGCAGCTCTTCAATCTGGTTGCCAGCAGAAGGTAACAATTAGGCTTGTAGGGGACAAAAACAAGGGCTGAAGGATTATTACCACCCTCACCAACCTCCCCCATAAACCACGTTTCTGGCAGATCCTAGGTTTCCACTTGTCACAGAGGCTTCCTGCTGGGTGCCCTGCAGTTTCCTGAGATTAACAGCCAGGATTTCCAATCAAGTGGGGCACAAGGCCTCCATTCAGGGGCCTTTACCCTGTTACAGAAACACACAAAAGGACAGGACAGTCTCACAATGGGCAAAGAAGTGAGCAGGCCTGCCCCTTGGCATATATGCTTGAGCTACGGACAGTACCCAGGCCTTCTTCAGTAAACTTTAGTGCAGAGATAGCAGCCCCTTGGCATATATGCATGTGCTACAGACAGTACCCAGGCCTTCTTCAGTAAACTTTAGTGCAAAGATAGCAGTCTTACATGCTACATGCTTGCTAGCCTTTTACATGGCTTTGCATTTTTTCTTTATAGTAAATAAACTGCCTTTTAAAGAATATTAGAAAGACACTAAGACCCACAGTGGATACAAACTCCAATTTAGATACTGTCCCCTCTAAAACAAATGATGAACTAACATACTGAAAGCTACAGAAAAATTTACTATGCCTTCATGTTTAAGGGTTTAAAAGTTCAAGATTATTAGAGTCCACTAAAGTCTCAAACATTATTCCTAAACAAAAGAAACTTTCAATTATAAAATACTGGTAGAAATAAAACAAAATAAAATTTAGAGAAAATTGTTGAAAAGGGAAATTGTTTATGTCTGAGCACCAGGTATGATTTAACTTCGAGCTTGCAGAAAAGGTATGAAGTTTCTAACCTATAATAATTATCATCTATATATAATGTTGGGTGTCTATGTTTGGTTATTTTTTAATAAAGGGATAAAAAGTTATGTCCCATAACAAAAGAAGCCTTTTCACGTTCAAAGCTGTATTTATTCTTTGCATGTACTTATTTTCATCTCACAAACAATAAATACAAGTAATTTAATGAACAACAAAAGCAGTGTCAGTATCAGAAAATAAAGAACGGGTTTATAATTCACTTTATAAACAATAAATAAGCACAGCTTTAAATTTTAAAACACCATTGCCATCTTCAGTTATTTGTAAGTTGGAGCTAGTACACACTAGTCTATAAACTAATACACACATATAATCACTACATTTATCTGCCTTATACATAAAAAGTCATGACTTTTTAAAAGAATATAATACTGTGAAAATACAGCAATATACAAGAACAAAGCACTGGGAATGTGGTTTATCTTTTTACAATTCCTTGCCAGTATTATTTTTCTACATTTACCTCTCAGTTAAATCAGTCCTCATGCTCAAACATTTACCTACATACTTAACAACTGATCTTGGTCTTAATCTTCTTTATGAGTCAAATGTAAAAGGGAAGCTGACTCCCAAACAAAAGTAGTCAACACTGACTGAATGCCTACTAAGGATGAGGGTACTTTACCACACTACAGTATTAAGCTTGACCAGAATGAATACGCTAGGGTCCCATTTCTATTTTTAAAAGGGTAAGACTAAGACTATCACAAAAGGGCCAAGAGCATGAGTTACTTCTGCTTTCTTTTTATTATGAAATGAATTAACTAGTAACAGCAACATAAGACTTTGAAGAAAATGTAGAAAAACTAAAATGTCAGGGACACTTTTTAAAAAGTTAAGGGAAAACATTTCTATGGGAAGACATTTCCAATCCCTCCACAAAGGCTACTATTTTTTTTAACAGTTTTTACCTTTCCATAATTTTTAAATGTGCTACCAAGTATAAACGTAAATTTAAATCTGTTTTTTTCCTTTGCATATAACTGGAGAATACTTTGTGTAGATGGCACAACTTTTGGTCCTTTAATATCCTGTATAGCTCATTATATATCTACAACTAAACATCTACTTTATTCTTTTTTATGGCTATACAATATTGCATTATTTGTAGAAGCCCTACCTTACCTAACAGTCCCCAGCTGATGTGCATTTGTTATTTCCAATCTTTCATTACTTTATACAACGTTATAGTAAGCATCCTCATGCACAGATTTTCATGTGAAATATTTCTACAGCATAATCTAGGCAATTAGAACTCTGTCAAATGGGTGGTACATTTAATAGTTTGATAGACCCAGGCAAAGTGCTCTTAATAAAGTTAAGTGTTAATTTACACTAACACTCCATCATTTTGGAATAGAACAAAACTCAGATGTTTATGTTAGCATTAAAATATATCCAACCATATTATAAAATATAGAAAAGCCAACACAGTGGAGAGGCGAGTAAGTTATTAACTGCACCCTCCCCCGCAAAAAGAAGAACTTAAGAGCATATGGACCATAAACCAAAGAAGAACAAACAAGGAGAAAGAATTCCTCAACCATCACCAAACAAATGGTAGTGGGACTAAGTAGGAGGTTAATGACAATACCTCCAGAAGCTAAAAAATCTGCCTGCCTTAATACTTCAAAGGAGAGCTTCAGATTAGAAACAAAAAGCAACAGAGGGCAACTCTGGCTTTGGGATCTGGAATATAAAACAATTCTCACACTACTTTAGAAAAATTTTTCCAAAGATCTTGTGAAGTACAGATGTACTATGCAGACACTGAATAAAGTCCAGGGTGAGGGAACATGCACCCTTACCCTCATGAAATCCTGTGTTATCTAGCTCAGAATAATCTCCTGCTCCCTTTCTCTCAATTCCATTACTAAAGGGAAAACAGAAACTGTCCAGACAAGTAAGATGTTTTAGTTGGGGAGAAGGACCAGACCACCCCACAAAGATGCCTAGAGCTAGGGGTTGCCAATGCTCTGAGAAACTATTCCTAAATTGAAGAAATTTGATGAATTATAATCTCTCCTTATTTTTCCATCTGTAGATAAATTTTAAATACCCTTTTCCAAAAGAAAAGCAATGTATAAGAATGGCATACTCACTCCCCTGCTCACGCAGAAAAGCCCCAACAGAAATATTAACAAGGGCAGCTGACATGTGCAAGAGGTGCCTTTGTGACAACTGCTGTGCACAGTTCATCCTATCAACTACCCATGACATAGTTCCTATTATTGTGTTGGTTTTTATCCTACAATGCAACAAAAACTGAAGTAATCTGCTTGGCTAGTATATGGCCACAATGCTGGGGTGTCTCACAGTGATGGATATATTTCATTTCTACAGTAAGTGTGCTTTAGAGAAAACTGAAAGCTACAAACGCTACTATAGAATAAGTGACTTCATATAACTTTAACTTTTAAGGTATCAAAGCTTTTATATATTCTCTTAAATATACTTTTTCAAAAGTATAAGCTTAAAGATTTTATATGTAGTTCTTGAAAAGTATAAGCTTCAGGACTGTCAAAAACACTCACTCAATTTCAATATCATGAATAAATAATATTAAAATTAAAGAGCACTCTCCCTACCACTAGTTATTATCAGTTAACAAAACCCACTGGCAAGACAGATGGGAAGCAAGACAGAGGCCCATCATCCAACCAA